TGACTTTGACAGTGACTCTGACAAAGACTATGACATTAACTTTAACAGTGACTTTGACAATCCTAAGTCACAAGTCGCAAGATTAGAGTAGAAGTCAAAGTCAAAGTCAAACTCAAAGTCACTGTCAAAGTCACTGTCAAAGTTACTGTCGAAGTCACTATAAAAGTCACTGTCAAAGTCACTGTCAAAGTTAATGTCAAAGTTACTGTCAGAGTCACTGTCAAATTTCCTGTCAAAGTCACTGTCAAAGCCACTGTCAAAGCCACTTTCAAAGCTACTGTCAGAGCCACTTCAAAGTTACTATCAAAGTCAAAGTAACAACTCGATGAACCCTTTCGACCCGATGAACCCTTACGACCCGATGAACCTTTATGACCCGATGAACCCTCACGACCCGATGAACCATTCACCTGAAGAGGGTACATTCAATACAGCATTATACGATGCAGAAACATTCGACATGGCGACGATCTTCAATGTAATGCACATTCGATGTGGCGACTTTTCGATGTGGCGACCATTCGATGTGGCGGCCTTACGATGTGGCGACCATTCGATGTGGTCGCCTTTCGATGTGGCGACCATTCGATGTGGAGACCATTCGATGTGGCGACCTTTCGATGCAGTGTTGTCGATGTTGCGACATTCCATGTAACGACCTTCGATGTTATAATCTGGACCCCTGAGTTCTGAGTTTACATATATACGTCATACTCCTTTATCTCTTGCGAGACAAAGCGTTAACAACAGTTAAAACGGCCATTTCATGTCTGATTCAGAAAACTCGGTGTATCACTGTAGTGACAAGTTGTCATCCTGTCGCCCAAAAATTGCAAAAAATATGGACTCTGAAACCCCATAGTCATATTTTACGACTTCTACAGGAAAGATATGAGGTGATGCTATTCTAACACGGCGGCAAGAGACTAACTTATACTGTTTTTCATACAAATACTAATAAAACAAGTAAAACCCTTGGAACCCTTAATGGGAAGGTTAAGGTAGTACTGCTAGAACATATGATTAAAATTGAATTGAATAAAACTTTTTCCAACGAATCTGCGTTCGATAATCTATTAATTACTACGTACGTAGATACGCTTATTAAGAGGCCATTGATAGCAGGTGGCCCATAATCCCAAGAGGCCTATAATTAGACCACTATACGCTATTAACAGCTATTAACTAAAGTACTATATTGTGGCCCGTAATGACCACCTGATATCCAATCTAAGTGTCGGGACATACCTATGGAGTTTTGCGCGACGAATATATCCTGCATTGCATATAACTCGATTTTTATAACTGTGCGCATGGAGCTGTCAAAATTACTATGGAGAACTGTCACTTGACTGTCAAACTCATACATATTTTGACAGCTCTATGCGCACAGTTATAAAAATCGAGTTATAGTGCTGTCCTACAGTAGGACATTTTTTATCTTTGACTTGACAAATAGTTGGCAAACCTACTAGCAGTAGGTTTTTGCTCTAATTAAAGTATTTAATCAAGTCAAAGATAAAAAGAAACAGTAGTTTAAAAAAATGTATGGTATCAATTTAGTTATTTTCAAAAGAGAGAGAAGAGTTATTCATAAGTTCCGTGGGGTGATTGGACTCATTTTGTTTAATTTTGTTGGTATTTCGTTACTCGTCTAACCCATAAGAAGAAGTTTATGAAAATACAATAGGGTGTGATGTGATATTTCAGCTCCAAATTTCGGGTGCCATTTATGTGGTATCCCTTTCACAGGCATAATTTTTTTTCCACTAATATGTTTTAGCATAACATGTTTCGCATAATTTCTTTTCGCCTACCATTGCTTTGACATAATAATTTCTTGCCATAATATTTATCTTGGCATAATCATATTTTAGACTATTGTATTTTATACTAACAATATTTTGACATAATTGCTTTTGCAATAATTTTTTTTGGACTAATATATATATAGTTTTTTAAGATATATTAGGTTAAATTAGGTCAGTTTAGGTTAGGTTAGGTTAGGTTATTTTATACATTTTAGGGGTTATTCTAATGCATCAGATTTTTATGCCTATTTTGATTATGGATATGACAGTTTATGGTTTTGTATTTTAGGCCTATATACTATTATGGCAATATTTTTTGTGCGTAAAGAAATTATGCCTAAACTGTTATGCGTACATAAATTATGCGTAAGTATCATTAGTTTAAATTACTGTGTGCCAAAATATATTATGTCAATTATTTTTATGCAAATGCATAGAGAACCCATTTATGTATGTATAGCAACGAATTATAGATGTATGTATAGGCTTTTTTACAAACCCAAAAAGCTAATGATTATGAAGTACTGTGGACGCATTCATTGTCAATGTATAAATACATCACTCGTCTAATGTTCCGCTATGGATACACCGTAAGTATAGCCCTACTTGTAAGTTGTACTTACAATCTATTTACCTACCCTACAGTGTCCACACTGTCAGTATGCAATATGCATTCTACACAAATACGTTACAATTTAAGTCACAGCACGGTAGATTTATTATTTATTCTTATGGTCACAGTATTAACTAATAACATGTACAGTCTAACGTTGGATTGCAACCAACGATAAGTTCACAGGGAGGGGGTTTTAGTCCGTAAGTCGCCTGGGGGTAACCCTGCGAACTCGGGCATACCATAAATGCCCTGGCCTTATGATATCTAAAATATGCATTCTACATTTGCGTAGAATTTAGTTCATCGTACCTCTAAATGCAACTGATCCGACACTCACTCGTGTTCCTAAATCCCGCACTGGGTCTCTACTTTTGAATTTTCGCATGCGAAAGTCTGCATCTAAGTATTTTTTGTGCTTCTACATATTACACTTAAACAAATTCATTCACATACCTACCTATCTCTTACATTAAACAAAATCAAGTAGGAAGTGCGGATTTGCGTGCACGATTTCAGAAATCAGTATCAAAATTGAACTCATACCTACTGTGTAAATAGATTTGAAATTTGATAAACCCACTCAAACTTTCGCATACTAAATTGATCCACAAAATAGTGTCTCTCCTCACCATTGGACTAAATGTGAATACGTTCTACGTTGCACTAAAACACACAAATCACAACGTTTTGCGGTGAAAGGACAGGAACATACTATACATAATTGGTTTTAGTGGTTTTAGTCCGGCTTTTAGTCGATCGTCAGTTTCATTTTTTCTTTCTGCAAAATGCACCGTGCAATGCGGACGCGTTTGCCGACGTAAATATATTTTTATAAATATATCTTGTATCAGCGCAGCTCAAACTGTGCCTGTTGTGGATCAAGATGAGTGAAGTTTAGCGATGTTTTAGTGATGTATCCGTCGATATGCAATTGCCATCACGTCTTGGGGGTCTGAAGTCTAAAGCTTTGTATCACAGCCACAATATTATAATTGTAATAGGATTTGGACAGCGCAGCGCAGCAACGTTGCATTGTGCACATATCTCTTGTAATTGGATTTGTATGCATACCTTCCTTTGCTCTCCGAGAGATAGGAACCTAGTCTAAGGTGAAGCTCACACGTCAAGTCCGCTGCTGCGCAATTTTAGCGCATGAGTCACATTTGTCAGACTCTCAGACTCATACTAAAAATCGACATTAAATAACGCAGCGCAAGTTTATGAGCTGCGCTGTTTCTACGTAAGTTTCTGCGTTGCGGTATTTTAACGTCGGTTCTTAGTAGGTACTTGGTACTTGTACCCAATCTTGTACCTATGTATTATATCTGACTGTACCTATGTATGCATATGACAACCGCATGCATTATCGTTGCGCTAAAATAGCGCTGGTTCTTAAATGTATTACGGATAACAACATATTCTGGGTTTCATAAAGTAAATGGCCTATGTACATTTTGGTCTCGTAAATATTGATAGTTCGTTGAAAACTATTTTACGAAAGCTTGCTAGTTTTAGTTCTAGGAAATAGGCAGATCAAAGATCCTCAGAACCAAATGTGTTCCACGTGTATAGGATCTGTCTGTCGGTATTAGGTACCTACCTAGGTACTCCTCTCTTCATTGTGTGGACTTCAACAAAGCCCGAGTCATTTTAAATATACAGAGTGGTACCGAAAGACCTACTTTCCCGAAAACGCTAAGTTCAATAGGTCAAACTGATCAACTTTCGGTAAGAACCAAAAAAAATATATTTTACTAACTCCTATACAAAAAAGTCGGCTGTCCGAGAAATTTTCAAGGGAGGTCCATTCTTTTTAGGCTTTGAGCTTTTGAGCAGTTTGACCTGTTGAGCTTAGCGTTTTCGGGAAAATGGGTCGTTCGGTACGGTATTCCCCCGTATGTAAAAACAAAGACCCAGTACAGGACTCCCTAGTAGGTAAGTATTTGACAAAGTTTATAAAGCGCAAGCTCCACAGAGTAGGCAGTCGTAAGACGTGAGACGTAAGCACGGCATCTGTCAAACAAGTGATCGTCGGTGATGTGAGACGTACGACATCACGACGCTCGAAATCGTTTCCGTAAACTTATGAAACAGAATAGGCAAAACTACACGCGTGAGACGCGCGTCGCATTGATAACGGCTTACGATGGTTTGTCTGACAGATGTCATGTTGCGCGTCGCGTCGCGCGTCTGTTCTGTGAAACTTGACCAAAGACTTTCTTCCGTACTTTAATAAAAGTTTCTAAGAAAACTTCGTCGTCCATGATGTGCACTTTATCAAGCATCAATTCTTTGCCCAGTCGCAGATGTGAATTCGATTGAGAAAGTATTCTCTCGTCCGGTGGAGCGAATGAAGCGAGAAACTTCGTCCGCGTATGATTCTGTCGAGACGTAGAGCGGACAAGGATTTTGTTTGACTTGCTATGCAAAACTATAGGTTCTCTAATAATATTTTTAATAACGGACTCTAAAAAGAGATATTGAGTCGACCCATTACGTATGTTTCATTTAATACCTACAGGTATGGTCAAACTCAGCATCAAGAGATTAAAATTACGTAAGCATCGATCGGTGCATTGATAGCTTAGTGGCAGAGCGGTGGGACGTTGATCCATGCGGCCCGGGATCGAGCTCTGGTCGATGCATGATTTTTTTTTCAATTCCTTATTGTTCAGATTCAGTAACTTTGATATCATCCATCAAATTCAACACTTAACAACAATCCACGTTCGAATGCATTCGCAGAAAATCCTTCGTTCGCAGTAGTCCTATTGAGTATAGTTCCATGGAACTACTGCGAAGTTATTTTTCGATCTAGTTCTATTGGGTTAGACAATGATAGATATTACGAGCTAGTTTTTTAATTTCGCATTAGTACTATTATACAAAAATGCATATACAAAGATTCTAAAACCTGGTACTGCCCATTCCCTGCTTACGTATTATTTATGCTTTACTCGCATTTTACTACACCCACTGCTCACGGGTAGAAAAGGAGATCGCTATTCCCATACGGAAGACGCCTTTTACTAATACCTTGTATTTGTAAAGGTTTCAGGGGGGCTATCAACAAGTGTTTCGATGTGGGCGACTGAAGTGGCAAATATTGGACCAGGTGTGGCGATAAGCTGGTTGAATGAAACATCCCACGACCGGCAGTCGCTCGTACCTACTTCCGCCTGTAAGAGAATTTATATAAAAGTCTGCATACAGGATGCTCATTTAAATGCGTGCCAAGGGTAATTGTATCGATAAAGGAATTCGTAAGATTTTTGAGCTTAGACGTACCTAGACTGATCTAAAGGTGTTTCGGTATTTCTGACCTTTAAAAAAATTTTCTTCTTAGGATTTTTAACGGTTTTCCATAAGGGCAGCACACCACCTCCGTAGGCGTAACCAGGAGCGGATCTAGGGTGTGGCTATAGGGGCGGGAGCCAGGGGCGCAGACCGAGGGGGGGCGCAAAACCAGACTCGCGCCCGCCAGGGCGCGGGTTTGGAGTTCAAGCCTCGTAAGATTCGGGTTATTATTGAGAGCTAAGGGATAATCTTTTGCTTACCATAGGGCATAAATGGCGTTAAGATGAAGCAATTATAATATTTTTTCCTGACTGTTTCATGAAAACAGAAATTATAAAAAAATGTTAAATCTGATCTCCGTGCCTTCCTTGAGGGGCGCGGGAGCTACGACACGAAAAGGGGCGCGCTATGCCAAACTGAGGGCGCCAATTTAAGTCGGCCAATACGGGCACAGAAGTTTTTCGCATACCTAATAATGAGGGCAATAATGTGCCAGACTTTTTAAATTTATGAACATTAAGGTGGATCGTTTTCCATACAAAATTTAAATGGAGTTACGTCTTTAAATGAGACAAAATTATGATTAAAAAACTTGATGGGAAGTCCCGTGCTTTTATAACATTGTCGCAAAATAAAACAAATAATTTTTTAACCATCAGATTTCTCTGTAAAAACCGTGTCGCCACTTAATGAACATAGATGGAGCTACTGCTGCAATAAACACGTTTAATTTTTTTGTGGAGAAAATACTTGATATTTTTTTACGTTAAGCAGTTTTGCGACATATTTACGTGTGCCTTCCTCATCTCACATAAAGATTTTTTGATAAAATTGTTGTTTAGCTCATGTGTAACTCGGTTGAAGTTCAGATTTTAGTTTGTATGACGTAACGATCCCCCTTAAGTAGTTATCTTATTTTAAAAACGATTTTATTACCGTAACAAATCGTATTTTTATTACGAGACATTGAATTTTGTAAGGCCAGTTGGATCCGGGGGTAGAGCAGCAAAATATTTAATGGCAGAAAATCGTGCAAAAAAAGAAATTCTTACTGGTGAAATTACTGAAACTTCAAAGGAACCCAATACAACTCTGACGCCCTCTTGAAACTAGTCGCCGCCTTTTAATCTTAATGGTGTTTGTCGAGCTCGCTGCGTTCGCAATCGCAATAAGTTTTGTGTAGGTGTGACCACGCTGTCCTTTAGTGCTGCCACCACCACACAAGATTTAGCGTAAAAGTCGAGCTCGCTTCGCTCGCAAAACGTTTTGTGTCTCAATGACGCCCCCTCTCGCAGTCCATTAGTGCTGCTACCACCACACCAGATTTACCGTGAAAAGTCGAGTTCGCCTCGCTCGCAATACGTTTTGAGTCTCAGTGACGCCCCCTCTCGCTGTCCATTAGTGCTGCCACCATCACACCAGATTTAGTGTGAAAATTCGGGCTCGCTTCGCTCGCAATTAGTTATGTGCCAGACTGCCGCCCCCTCTCGCAGTCTATTAGTGCTGCTACCACCACACCAGATTTAGCGTGAAAAGTCGGGCTCGCTTCGCTCGCAATTTGTTATGTGCCTACTCTCTCAGTCCATTATTGCTGCTACCACCACACAAGATTTAGCGCGAAAACTCGGGCTCGCTTCGCTCGCAATACGTTACTGTGCCGCCCTTCTAGATGTCCGTAAGTACGAAAATGTTGATCTAAAATCGCTTCTGACAGAACCTGCACTCATTTTTGTATGGATAAAGTAACTGGTAGCACTAAGGTGCCTCGATGACTCCCCGGAAATTGAGGGCTTGGATTGCACCTGCAAAGGGGGGGCGCAAAGTTTGAGTCGAGCCAGGGGCGCTGGCTACCTCAGATCCGCCTCTGGGCGTAACGTGGAGGTCATCACGAACGTCACTATGGCGTTGTATTGTATGGGACCGCATAAGACACGGCACACCGCGGTACGCGCAAGATCACGTTCACGCATACGTAGGTGGTGTGCTCTGCGTTTTAATGATACTGCAACAACCTGAAAAAGAAGGCAAACTTAGTAGTGCCTAGAATACATCTAGAACGTATGTCCATATTATTAAGTATCCCCTGTATTGTATAGTATATTCACAAGAAAAAAGAAGACTAGTTTCTTAAAAACATTTAATAACTAATACAATATTTACAAAGTGTAACTAATTTGGTTTAACTTAACACAATTTTCCATTCGAAACACGAAAGTGAAACCTTTTATAGTCTTATTTCCCTTACTTATATTTATATAAAGAGGAAATGTTTATTTTTGTCTGTTTGTAATCCATAATCCTCTAGAAGCAGCTCCTTTTTACCACGGTTAAATTCCTTGTTCCTATGGGAAAACGGACAAAGCCGCTGGTCGGAACAAGTTATCAATCAATAACGATAGAAAAGTTTCAGTTTCATGGCAAAATCAGAGCTTATTTCCAGCGCTGAAAAATCTATTTTCTTCGTGAATAATACAGGGTGGACCATAGAGTGACGTCAAAATAAATTCCCTATACTGAGAGGAATCCTAACCACGCCTATGCATATTCCGCGATGTTTTGCAATTTCAGACTTATTTAACAATACTTGTAGCTACTGGTTGGTTTTTTTTTTCGTACGATAGAAAGTTAAAATTACCGCTCGCAAGAAGTAAAAAGAAAGTCCTTCTAGTTGTTCCCATACAACTATAAAAGTTTAATACGTCGGAATCTACAAAAAATCGCGGAACATACCTACATGGGGTTGATTCGGCTATATTAAATTTTGTCTTTTGACGTCACTGCCTGGTCTAACCTGTATTTAATCTTAATTAATCTTTGCTCTTTATCATAATCAAAACATTCACTTGTTATTTATTAAGAAATATAAACATTTTCAATACAAGACACCTTTCACATAAATCACCCTATAAGGAACAGACAAAGTGTATTATACCTAGAAAAGCAAAGCAAAAATGTGACCAACCAAATATATTATAATCTATACAATTAATTATGTGCAAAAGAGTTTATTTCTGGACAAATTCATAGTAGTACTAAGATTAGTACTATAACTTTAACACAAAAAGAGAAAATTCTTTGCCAGCACTTTATTAACTAACAGTATATACAGAAATGTAAAATATTCTGTACCATTCTGAACTCATTAGACATAATAGTTTTAGTCATTTCTATTTACCTACTTGTTTTTTTTTCTTTTACATTTTAGCCTGTGTCAGTAAATTTGCCGAAAATATTTTAAGGTGTGAACTAAGCTTAGAAAATAAGTGACTACTTTTATCAATTATTCGTTCGTAGTTAATAATTGAATAACTTTTCCAAAGTTACAAAGGTCGAAATATTAAATAGTAAGGTACAATTTTATTATGACTAACATTCGTTGGGGAAAGTTGTTCAGGACTGCATTGCCTCTTAAAATATTTTCGGTCTTTTGTAAGTACACTTTGTAGGTGAACCATGTTTTTGACCAATCAAAATAAGGACTTCATCTATAGCATTTTATTTGTCTCCTGTATAGATTTTGTTTGTATGACTTATATAGGGTGAAATTTTACTAGTGACCGATAGCGAAAGTGCAGAACGACCTGGCGATAAGGAACAACTTTCCCCAAGGAAAATAGATCAAAATAAGAAGAAGAAAAAAATTAACCACCCGTACTGCTGCATTTTTTTCAAATTTCGATCTACTTTCCTTGGGGAAAGTTGTTCCTTGTCATCAGCCCGTCCTGCAGTTTTACTATATATCACTAGTAAAATTCCACCTATTTGCTTAAAAATACACTAGCAAAAATACAGCTTCACACACAAATACATAATGTATCTATCAATTCTCTAGCACTCATTTTCACTTTTTACACACATCATTTTTTATTTATATCAGTGATGTCATTTAGACTACTTAGTGTGAAATAAACCTTATAGTATTATTACTATTATTCTCATTCCTTTTCGTTTACTTATAAGTTTTAATGAAATTATTTCATTTGAACAAAATTGTTTTATTCCAATGCCATCACGGTAATAGTAATTTCAAAGTATACTCTACAATTTTGCCTATATGTATTTTCAAAATTAAGACTGTAACACCTTAATTGCTATCAAATCACAAATACCAAAAGTCTCATACTTTGACGCCACGTTTTTCGGTTTTGGCATACGTACTTTTTAATAAAAGTCACTATTAAAGAAATTGAATATCTTCTGCTGTATACAGATTTTTCCCTTTCTCAACAATTAAATCTCTTCAGAATATTAAAACGTGTTATGGTTTGAATTATATTTGTCCAATTGTCCGGTTAGTCATCGCAAGTTTAGAAGAAAATATTGTATAACAAATGATTGGATTCGGCCG